CTACATTTGTATTGAATGTTTCCATTCCTGAAAATGGATTATTCTGTTATACCTGCTCAGGGGTTCTATAAATATACAATAATGTTATTGTCCTGGTCATTGCCTACCAATAACCAAGATTTTGAATAGAATGTTTACCTGTAAGGGCACCCTCAGCAGTGAAAAGTAGGCTCGGTGTCGATACGTGATAACCTGTGGCGGATTATTTTCTGATCGATTGGCTCAACTTTCAGGATGCGAACCTAACCCCAGGATAGTCCCATTCCGTGGTGACTACCTTCTTCTAAAACCTGAGAAGAGGCATCTTGTGAGGGGCAATATCTACCCAGTAAGTAATAACCTTTAACCTTTTAATTTAATTAAGCATTTGATTTTGATTCATTATGTATTAAGCTACATTTACACCAGACACAATAATGACACAACAACACGATAAAAATGCTGAAGTGTTGAAGAATATAAATAATGCGATAATCATTTTGTCATCGTGTCATTACCGTGTCTAGTGTAAATGTAGCTTTCACAGTATCTTGTGTCCTACTGGGAAAGTCCAAGGGTGTATACCACTTGTCCTCATACAGTAGCTCAGTTAATAGAGTATTCAAATGGTAATCGAACATCTTTTGGATTTGAATCCCGATAAATATTATTTATCATCCTTGATTCATACTGGAATATAAAGTGAATTATAAAAAATTATGGTTTATTAATAAAGGGATGTTAATTAAATTGATATTTCTTTTTGTAGTATTTATTGTTCAGATGAATAGTATTAATTTCCCATATTATTCAATAAGCACCTTGAAATCACCCCTTCCCTACCCCCCTCCCCCTTGAATATATTCTGAAGCTTTTAATACTTTTTTATAATCTGCATACCACTTATTTAGTCAATTATGGTAATCAGTAATCAAAAGGTCTTGGGTTCAAATCCCATCTCTTTAATTGCCACCAGTGGAGTTGCATCTCCATACCAAAGTTGCTATTGAGTCATTTATGGTATGTGTACATTAGAATGCTAATTTCAAATTCTATGTTTACTTTCATGCACTGTCCAGACTATCAAATTTAAAATTTCAAAAACATGTGACATGCCTAAATATGGTCATGATAACATCACGTAATGACCATATATAGGCAAATCATAACTATATATGGGCATATATATCAGTTTCCTGTCAAATGAAATTTGATTGTCTGGACAGCTTTATTTATGTTTTACAGGTTCCTGATCCCAGATTTCCATTTCTTGGGGTGCATTTTACACCACGGATTGATGGCAGTCTCTGGCTCGGACCCAATGCCGTGCTTGCTTTCAAGCGTGAAGGGTACAGATTAACTGATTTTAATATCAGCGATACCATTAATGCTCTGAGTTATAGGTAAGGCTATGCTACTCCTGCTAATAATACATTAATTTTTGCTAGTTCCACAACAGTGTGATGCTCCTGCGGTGAGAGTATTGTACATTCTTCCACTGGTCCTGTTACTATAATATTATTATTACTACTGTTGCAATTTTACAGTTTTTGGTCTTACAATATTAATTAGTTAGACACGCATAATATTAATGGTTCTAATATTAAATGACTCATATAAATTTTTGATAAATGTATATCAGTCAATACTTTTTATTATTATGAATTTAATTGTGATATTTGTTAATATTCATATTAGGCTTGCCCTCCCAACACCAGCGTATTGTAGCTAAAGGTTAAACTGAGTAAATTAGCATAAGAATGTGGCATTATTGTATACTTTAGTAATATAAGTCAATTCCAGTAAATGTCTATCACTTTAAAGCTTATGATGTGTAGAATATGAATATATTAAGAAGTCAGTTTCCTTGTTTTGGTAACTGATGCTTGTTCTGATATGGTAATTAGCCCCATAATTATAGTATTATAATACAGCATTTCTTTTAAGCATTTATATGTGTTCGTAAACCAATGATCTCAGCCTGCAGACTGCATGTTGTTTACCTTTATACCTGAATAAAATACAATATTCAATAATGTTGACTCAAATGTATTATCTTTTTTTGTAGAGGTTTAAGGAAACTTGCATATAAACATTTGATATTTGGAATGAAAGAGATGTACAGGGGGTTTGTGAAATCGGCACAAGTGAAGCAGCTTCAACGATATATACCAGACCTGAAACCTGAAGATGTTACCAGGTACACATGTACATCATCAAATTCCTAATTAAAAATGTTCTTTTGTCATCATTGATTGAATGATTATTTATAAACATTAGTAATACCTTCTTTACTACCATCACAGTTTTTATATCATATTCTTGTTATTATCATTGTTCTTGTCATCGCTGCTTGGGCATTGCTGGAATAGATTTTCATTGGCTAGATCAAATCTTCACTACCAAATTGTACTGACTAGAAACCTCATAAGCCAGAGCATAATAAAAAAATTTGTATACCCCAACAAGATGGATGAAAACTTTGTGAAGATTGTGTAATTCAAATTTTTTAAGATGAAAAATTACACCAGTTGATGGCACTATAAAGAAGTCAGATGCTTGACGATCGTTTTGAACGCTAGTCTGTCACTTCAGGACGGTTATTCTGCATTCAGTATTTGTACTTAGACCATTGGCTTATTATTGGATGAAGGTAGCATCTGAAAAAAATGACTTATACTCAAGCATGGACTTATATACATGGTACAGTATTTACGTTACAAAAGCAAATACTGAATTTTTTCTCCACAACCAAGTGAAAATAATCTATTCTGTTTGGCCAGTAATTCATTGGAGAATCCTCTGTATGCAAACTAAATATTGACAAAAATCCTCATCAGCAACTATTCTTAAACTATACCATCGTGAAAACCACCACCACCATGGTTGCCTTCATCATCATTACCTTCACCATTGTCATCACCATCACAAATTGATTTTTAATTTTCAGAGGTCCATCGGGTGTACGAGCAATGGCACTCGGTCCTGATGGCAGCCTTGTGGACGACTTTGTATTTGATATGGGATCTGGAGACATCGGACGGAGGATACTACACGTACGAAATGCACCCTCACCAGCAGCCACATCATCCTTATCAATTGCAAAAATGGTTGCAGATAAAGTACAAGATTCATTTAGTTTATAGGTGTAAAGTTTATATTTTAAACATTATATAATAATAATAATAATAATAATAATAATAATAATAGTGTATTTTTATATAGCACTCATATCCATTTAATGTAAGTTGCTCAGGGCGCTTGATATGTGGACTAGGAACTCGATCAATGACTTTCTTCGCCCCTAAGGGTCCCTTCATGTCTATGCTACCCGGTTACCCGGTACCAGCAACTCACGTCGTCCACCACAGGGGCTGTCTGTTCCAGTATACCGGGGTATCCCCCTACTCGTCTCGAAGGATATACTGTACTGGGTTCTTTATAGTGCACACCTGCCATTGTATACACTGGGCCTACGGTTTAGTCCTTTTCCAAGAAGACTTGTTCTACCACCAGAACCATAGGCAAGTGTGTCATTCGAACCAGTGCTGATATTATGGCTACAGCTTGCGGTGCCCCTGCTAACCGCTCGACCATTCCACTCACCATAATATTATATAGTGTTATTTTCAGAATTTAATAGAGGGTAGAGCTGTATGGAAAAGGTTCTTCCATGATTTCACTTATTCAGCCAATATTTCAATAATTTTAGCAGCTGCATTTATACCCGTCGATGGTATATCACAATTACTAATGAATTATGTATTTTAGATGTGAAAAACTGTGTGTGTAAAAGATGTATCATTTGTGATAAGCTAAAAATCTTGAAACATATATTATAATATTATAATAATATATTTAAATTACTTACTTTGTATAATTATGAATATTTTAATTTGAAAACTGTGTGTGTTAAAGATTTATGAAAGTTTAATACATGCTCCACATATTAAAATGCATGCCATCGCGTGCATTTCAATACTTGGAGTATGTGTTGTACTATCTTATCTGAGATCAATCAGTGGACCTTTTGGTCTTGAAATCTTGAAAAATAAGTTATACTAATGTATTGGAATTGTTACTTTTATAATTAAATTATTAACTCTCAATTAAAATTATCAATTAACAGAAATTACTTTAGATTTTTAGATGAACAATATCATTGGCTGATTTTTTTAGAACATCTATAGATTAATAAAATGTGTTCTGATATATATAACATAAAACCTAGTAACTTATTTGATTATTTATTTTAATAATTCAAAGATTTAATTATTAATTTTTGAGGACATATCATTATTCTCTGATAGACAGTATATCTTTAAAGCTAAGTTAATGTTGCCTTGCGACTCAACAGGTAATGCGCATGCCAACTTCAACTCATGATCACGAATCTACACAAATAGGTAGAACCTTGACCAAAGCTTTCGATTGAAGATTATTTACAACCAACTACAACTAGTTGCAATAAAACAGTACCATAATTGCATACAATGTTAGCGTGAATGTAGACTTGCCACGAAGTCGCTTATTATTATTTTTTTTCCTCATTCTGGACAGCAAACAACAAACAAGATAATTTTGAGACAATAATTCAGAAAAAAACGAAATAAAGTATGGGATGCAAAATAAATTAAGTATCGGATGCAAAATAAATTAGGTATGGCACGCAATAAGTGCAATAGAAAGTGAGAAACTAAAAATTATGCCTTGAAACCTAGGCTAGCAGGCAGTGGCGGCGCCAGCGGGGGACAGAGGGCTTAAGTTCCCCACCGGACAGGTCAAGCCCCCTCCCCCGCCGGACAGAGCTCGTCGGGCAGTCAGACCATAAAACATATAAAAATAGGCCCACACCAAGCCAACACATGTCTGTCACAGTCTGAGAGTGCCATTTCCGGCCGGCCATCCAGAGGTTGCTATTCTTAAAAAAAAATCTCATTTGGGAGGGGACCCCCATCTCATCCCCTTCCCCCAGCTCGAGCCTACGAGCTCAAGTCCCCCTGTCGGACAACTTAGCGGCCCCCCCCCCCGAAAATGTATCCTAGAGCCGCCACTGCTAGCAGGAATGTAGACTTGCCACAAGTCCATTTATTTAGTACCGTACAGTACAGTATTAGATTAGATAATATCGGAGAGCGCCACCAATGTTTGTGTCAAGAAACTTGTCCTGTTGTGGAATTTGTAGACCAAGAATAAAATGCTGTAGTATGGAACGCCATGTAAATAAGTAATATGGAAAGCTATTGGTGCCAGAATCGATTTATTTTTTCGCGTTTTCACTGAAAAAGAAGAGAAAATTTAGGGACTGGAATCCAATCCAGCGTGAATTGTGCGTGCACAGTTTGACTAGAGTACTATTTTCACATGATTGACTTGTTTATTTTGTTTCACTATGAATGCACCAAATGGTTTTTGAGTGCCACCGATCTAAAGGTGTATGTTCGAATAAATATTTATTTCATTGTCTGAGAACAGCTGACGATGTGTATTTGCTTTTGATTGCAAGAGGAACATTGCTAAATGTGGGGTGAGATAAAAGAAACTCTTCAACCAAATTCTACAAATATTGGTAATTTATTTATATATTATCAAAATTCTTTATTTTGCATACGGTATATTTGTATTATAATAATTTAAAAAAAAGAGGTTCAGCGGCTTATCTAAGAGAAGGTGAAGTTGGGGGTGGGGGAGGTGCTCGATGATTAAGTACGAGGTGCTAGCTCACAAAATGAGGTGATTTTTAAGTACTTGAATGTAATATTTTTGCTTTAAGCATTCTTGGTGGGGGCAACTGGGGAGAGCATTTTTTGTGGGGCCGCGGGGCATGCACACCCCCTAGATACGTCACTGATTTTTTACTATAATTTGCTGCCAAACACCCTGCTGCCTACATGATTATAAATTTCAAAGTTTCCTAGTGGGTTGGGGGTGGACACAGCAACACATGCTCTTTTTAAATGATAATAAATGCAATAATGCAGCATGAATAGTGACATAAATGTATACTGTAAAACCTCGAATTAATCCCACCCACCCCTCTTTAGTTTGCAAAATAGCATGGGCTTCTTTTCGAAATAGTACAATACATACACTGTGCATGTACATTACAAAATATTCTTTTCTCATCAGTATACTGGAATCTCTATCAATTTCATGTTAAATTTAGGCATAAAACTTATCTCTTCTTATCCATTTAATCATCTAATTTTATTTCCCTTGTGTTATTTAATGTTTTTGTTGTTTCTTTGTGTAATATTTACTGTACAATTTGTCATATAGAAAATAAGAGAAGTAATCGTCCTGGTGTAAAAACTTTTTTATTTATAGGCCTATTATTTTCTATATGAACAATTGATTTTTAGCTTTTTATCGTTATCGTTGCAATTATAAAGCAAGCCTAACTCGTATTTTATATTTGGTACCACTGATATTGTGGCGATACCTCGCATTTAAATTGAATTGAGACTTACTATTATACGCTATACAAGCCTACACCCGTTACCCTTAGCATAGTAAAAAATGTATTATGTTTTTTGTACAAGCTATGTAAATGAAGAATTTGCAAGAGTGGTAAGAACGTGTGATCACAGCTTAGTGGCAGTGTTCGTTAACGTCAACCGTACTCTTGCGTTTGAAGGCGAAAATAAAATACCCAAATCCCGCGCCCAACACGACGGAGAGTCCAATCCAGACGTTAAACGTCATCACCAGTAACATCAGTATGTAGCTAATGGTCACTTGAATGACGTGAAGAAACGACTGCAGCACGTGCCATCCACTACACCATGTCACCCTGACCAGAGGAAAAAAAACATACATTACATGTTTGTTTATTTTACTCTCATCTAATGCTAGCTCGGAATATTTTTGTGCCTTATATATCTGCAAAAACAAATCGCAGCCAGGCACACACTGTGTCGTACGATGGTCGTTCTCATCAATTCTCACTCAAGAGTGCCATAGACTCATATTCATAGATTAGCCTATCTCCTCTCAGTTACACAATTATGCAATAGACATTTCCTGGAAAAATTACAGAACCGCTAAAAATGGCGATCTGCATGGCCATTCTGTAATAATTTATGTTAGTGTAGTGCCTTTTTAACGATATGATGACCTTATGATTACGCGTAGATGAGAAATGATTAAGTCAGTCTTTTAATTATTTATGGTTAGTAGACAGTAAACTGGACATAAAATAATACTGCGGTTTGGGTGCTAGCTTGGATTTTTTTTTTTTTTTTTTTTTTTTTTTTTTTTTTTCTTTTTCTTTTCTTTTTTTACCTCCCAAAAGGGGGGGCCGGGGCCGGGCCGCCCCCCCCCCTAAATCCACCCCTGGGGGTGGTAATTGATAAGCCACAAGCAAAGCCTATACTCGTTTTGACTTACCCGGAGCTATAATAGTCATCGCTAGCCAGCGGAGCAGTACTACCTCTCTTTTCAAGGTCCGTAGCTTCATATCCGCGATTAGGCGGGTGACGATGAAGAAGCGATTCACGAAAAACTTTGAAACCCTCGTAGAGTGCAGCAATGAGGAAGATGACAACACAGGCTGCGATGAAGTCTGTATCGAAAGAAATTAAACACTCAATTCTTGGCCTATATTATTTGGTAAATGACGGTATGTGATTTGTCTAATATTTATTTACCGTATTTATTCGAATAAAAACCCCTCGAATAAACGCTCCTCAAGGGCCTCATTTGAAATAAACGCCTCCCTCGAATGCGTTTATTTTTTCCTCGAATACTCGCATCCCCACTAAATGACTGCAAACAAAACAAATGAAAGCAACATCTCTCATCACATTCTATTAATATTTTACTCCAGTAATTACACTTTTTATAACCTGGTTGAGACTAATAAGTATTTAGGATCAAATATACGTGTCCATTTTACATACAAAAAAAAGTATTAAAAAACGCTTCCCTCTAGAAAAAAAATGCGCTCCTCTCGAATAAACACCTCCTCAAAGACGCTTCTCAACAATAAACGCCCCGAGCGTTTATTCGAATAAATACGGTATCTATAATTGTACAGATATTTATATAGCGTTATTTCGTTAAGATCAGAGCGCTTTAAGTGTTATACTGTTGAAAAAATATCACATTCTGAAACAAGAAATACACTAACCAAAGGCAAACCACCCATCCCACCCCCCCCCCCCACACCAAAAAAAAATTAAAATAAAATAAAAAAAAATAAAACAACGCAAATAAAGTTTTTAATAAAATATAGCAGCTTAGCGAAAACACAGGATAATTGAATAGGCCTATATAAAAGAAAGAATTTGTATGTATGGAGAATTAACCACAACAAAAAAATGGCAAAAGGCCTATTTAAGATAAGATACTCACTGCCAAGATCATCCTCCATTACAGTAAAATCCTGTATCAGCAATGTTACTTTCTCACCGATAGTGAAAAACATCTGATTAAAACATAAATATGCTTATTTTTAAACGTGGAAGCACTCTCTTATATAGATTATATATATATATATATATATATATATATATATATTTATATAGACCTATATATGACCTATATATTTTTTTCATATATATATATATATATATATATATATATATATATTTCAATCATCTTTAATTTATAAATATTATTAGATGAAGATGAAATAAGTAATAAATAAATAAATATAGGCATAGGCTTTTAATAAACAATTTACTATTATTTTCTAGTACCGTAATCTTTTATCAGAAGAAAATAATTGAAACTCCACGCTCAGTGTCTGCTGTCCAATAAGGACGCTTCCGTAAGAATTGATTAGACCATGAAGGGATAAAAAAAAATTAGACCTACGCTGTGGCCCATGGCCATGTGGCCACCCATAGAACCTGGTTGTCCATGTTGTCCGTGACCACTGGCTGTGCTCATCATGCCCATGCCGTGTCCCCCGTGTTGCTCGTGATTGTGAGTGGTCATCGTATCCATGGCATCGTGACCATTATGTGATCCGTTCGTCACCATGTCCATAGTGACCGAATCCTAAAAACGAAGGGAGATAGTCTTAAAGGTGTTTTCTTAATTCGACACACCAATTAGGCCTACACAGAGCTGGCATTCAGTGGCGGATTCAAGGGAGTCGGGGTAAAAGCCGGCCAGACCCCTGGTAGTCAGTAGTGTGTCTTTGGTTTGAATCTTAATAAATATAACTTGGAAGCCATTGAAGGTCTTAGCGTTCTAGATATTCGACATTATCTCCGATGAATAACAATAATTTACATAATTATTGTATATTTGTAGGCCTGGTGTCGTATTTTTCTTCTGTATTAAAACAATATGGTAATTGATTAATTTACGTGCTCCGTAATTTCCGGTCGAGAATGTTTCATATAAAATAGCAAAAACTATTAAGTACACGGAGCATCGCATCGTGCGGGAAAGTCGTTCGAGTAGTCTGCAGTGACTTCGCTCTAGAACGCTTTGCAATGTCTCCCTCTCAGTCATCTTCTATGAAAAGGCAGTGGCGAATCTGGGGGGGGGGGTGGAATATTGTTTGTGTGCTTCTACTAATTCCAAAAAAAAATCTCATTTGGGAGGGATTGGATGCCCCTCCCAAAACCCCCCCCCCCCCCCGCTCGTGCCTTCTCACCTCCCATTATCCACCCCCATTGCTAAATCCTAGATCCGCCACTGAAAAATTCCTCAAAACTTATTTCAACATTATTTAAATCTCTTTAATTCAATGTTAGAGCTATTAATATTATTATATTATACCGTATATTATAACTACATCATTATTTATTATTATTATTATTATTATTATTATATTACTTTATTATTATATTATTATCATTATTATTAATAATAATAACAACAATAACTAATAATAACAATTATATTATAGTAACTATAACAATAATAATATTTTGATGTTATCATTGTTGTGTTATAATATTGGCCGCTGAAAAATACTGATGTATTGAGCAAAATATTCAAAATTGTTATTGTTTCGAGACATTCGTTGTGATCGTTATAATCTTTTTTAGACCCATATTGCAAGCTAATATTCAATCAGGGGTAAAGGTAGTGCCCATCCCGCAGTAGCGGCTGTAGGGTATATATTGTTGGGGGTGAAGCTGTATGATGGTGGGAGGTGGGGTGGGGGCTAAGTGAGATAAGCATAACTTGGCGCGCAGCGTCATCCGAGGGCCGTATGCCCGAGCCGGGGGAGAGTAGAGAGGGAGTGTCACAGGACGCAAGTGACTTGCACATCGAGAGTTTCAGCCCCACACAACGAGGCTGTGAGAGTCCAAACCTCAATTGCTGCGCTAAACCACTGTTCCCTGGCCAAACGCTTCCACATTCCTTCGCTTTTTAAAAACCGAGCTAAACAATGACATTATTAAAACGTTATGATTATGCTACAGTTTGTTGTTCAAAATGTGTTTTCTAGGAGCCATAAATAGTATGTATAATAATGTCTAACAAGTAACTTGCTAACGTTGCTGTAACCAATAAGGGCTGCGCAACGCTGAGTTGATTAAATATTTTAAAAAAATGATATTTGGAAGTAGGCCTACACCAATAAAATAGAATGGGGAGAAAAATTACTTATAAGCCTAATGCCTTTTTAATGTTTAAAGGACCAAGCTCCATTATATTTATCTCAATATTTTGTTTAACATAAATTTTATTTTAAAAATAATCTTTAATTCATATACAATATTATGCATATTGCAGTTTAAAAAAATAGGCCTATCCTTAACAATAAATAAGCATTAGGGTTATCAAAAAACAAATTATACCATACATTATAAATGTAAACTCTACAATATTTATTGATCTATAGGAAAATACAGTTACATATTTATTTATTGAAACAGCTAACTTCAATACGTTAAGAAAATTTTACACATAGGAAATTTGGAAGTAGTTGTATACACAAATTGAATAAGCTACAGAAGTTGCGGCGGTTATTTTTTTATAGGAAATATTTCTTGGTTAATGATTATTTGCACTCGCACTGTACATGAAGTTAAAGTAATAATACTCTAATTAAACACTCATGGAATAATAAATGCAAGGTCAAAGAACTTTTGTTTACAGATCAAATAAATTATGAAATAACCTCCCAGACTTCGAATCCATGACATATTGTCACTACTACTACAAACAATAAGATAAACATTTTCAATCTTATAATCCATTTTATATAGTCAGAGTTATGTGTTGACCTAGGCTACTATGGCTAATGACAGGAACGCTTTCTCCATTAAAAAGGCTTCTATGAATGGAATGACCTGTACGAAACACGCGCGCTCATGTAGACTAAAAATCCAGTACCATTACGACTTTATTCGTACGGGAAATTTACTCAAAAAACGTCTATTTCAAATCGTTATATAAGATAACTTAACATCAATTTCTTTTGCCATGCATTATATTCTCCAATATAAATTAATGTATTGTTTATATTTTAAGAAATTGTTCTTAATTTTGTTTCTTTAATAGCTTTTTTCCCCCTAATACTGAACCACGTTTGAAATCGATGCTTTATGACTGAAAGTGTTGTCTCTGTATAATGACAGAATAAATATATGAATAAATAAATAAACTGTCGCGAAAATAATACATTTTTGCTTTTGCTAGGAAATTTCGTAAAAAAAATGTATTTCATCGCAATTAGACTAATAACACATAATTTAGGCTAATTGATTTGGCCTATAATATATAAAAAGCTTTAATATTCGATAGAATAGGCTACTCACAGTTTGCTTCAGTAGAGGAGACTCACCAGCGTCCCTATAGTTAGAGCAATTATGCAAGCCTAGTATTTGTATAATCCAGCAGTAGACAGTTAATAAAAGACTCCCATAATTCTATGTTTTGACCTACCACCCACGAATAGAAAAACGTGATCAATTGAAAACGAATGATTTTCAAAAGTTCTTTTCTTCAATATAGTTATAATACGGACATAATTGACGAGCTTTTCTTGGGGATAGTTCTGTCTATTTGTACGTGCTACACCTAATGTTTAAAATAGGCTTTTGAAGAGTATTTGTCTGAGAAATAACGAAAACTTACCATCGTCGTCGTCATACTACCAGGAACTATCAAGTTCTATAAAGAATGGTGTTTGTATCTTCTTTGTTTGGAATCTTTGAACCTTGATTACGTGATGAAATTTTGAGTGTACTGTACGTCAAAGCCTATAGTGCGGTTCCCATGGTAACTGACTTAGTTAAGCACATTCTTAAATCTATGAAGTATTATTTCAAAATACTGTAATGGAATGTATTGTTATTGAGTGCGTCTAGCTACAACATGATTCACCAGGTCCTGATCTGGGGCATTAATAACAGTTGACATTTACTGACAATGAATTGTGTTCAGTGGACTTCGACTTCATTGTTGGAGGCAATCTGTCTCTTTCGGAATATTGAAATGGGGAGCTGATTGGTAGGGAAGGAGGGGGTGGGGGGTGCGCGATGTTGAGTTGGAGGTGATTTTCAGCGTAATTTTTTCCAGTGCGTTGGTTGCGGCTGGGTCACGGCTAATTTGAAACGTCACCCGCGCGCACCACCCGTAGATAGGCCTACGTCTCCGCTTGATCCTGTCAAAACCTGAACTTATGATGATAATAATAATATGAGCGTAATCATAAGAATAATAATAACGATAATTACAGAGTTACAGTACGCTGAAGATGTCTCAAACACTGCTAATATTCGTGTTGTGTAACGTCGTGCTTTTCGGAAAACCGGCGAGTTCGAGGAGAGAACCGAGGAGCCCACCACTAGCCAGCAAACATTATATTTCTTTCTCTGGGCATACTAGTATTAATAAATAAAGCTACGACACCTTAATTATATATTGATGATACGATAATGAATGAATGTCATTTCAACAGTGCCTACATTAATAGCAGTATGGTTCTGATCGTGGGCCGCGTGGTTTATCAGCTAAACTAGGATTTAAACTTACAAAACAGCTAAAACGAACAGTGCATTGTATTAAAACTAACGAAATGAAAGCTTGGATTAGTCGTCAACAAAGCAAGAATTAACTTTTTAAAGTTTTTGAACATCTTTAATGTTTAGGTAGGCCTACTCTGTTTCAGTTTAAATTTGTATTGGCTCTCACTTTTTCAACAGTGGCACACTTTATATAGTGGTGCGTCCAAACTTACTTACATTAGGCCTATATATAACAATAAAGTGTGAAATGAAAGTAAAATTGGTATTGAAAAGGCAAACAGTAACATCAAACATCAGGGAATTTAAAAATCGTTGTAAAAGAAAAAGAATAACTTCAAATTATACAAAATTTAAATCTCAAATAAGGTACAGTTAAGAAGTAAAGGGCGTATACAATGTAAATATACTTTATTGCCACAATAAGTTAGAAATTAACTAAAAAATAACAGTGGTACAGTATAAAAATAAAGTTGACATAACAAAAAAACAAAAAAACGACCATAAAATGACAATGAGAATACAGTACTAGCAGGGAACAGTGAAATTACACTTTTTCCTGGTAGGCATACTGTTCCCCGGTACTAGTAAATTACTGTAAAGGCACGTGACTTTTATTTTAAAGTTATAACTCAACAAGTTGCGCATTACTTCTTAACCATAGGGCGCTTTACAATGAGTGCGCTCGACGTGAGCAGAACTCTAGCACATGTCTAGCATGCATGAATGAAAAATCTTCTAAACAAGACTGTGGACGGTAAACACGGCAGGGTTGAATCTGGTTGAACCAGGGAAGATTCAATGGCTTCGAAAGTAGGCTTAGGACTAGACGACTTTGACTTAGCTGAATCTATTCATGATATTGCTATTTGCCAATTAACAAACGATGATGCCTTTAAATCTCTATTTATAACTCTTGCCCAGATACTTAATTCAAGGTGAGATTCATTACATACAACAACAGAGAGAGGCCAAGGTTAGGCCTAGCCTAGGCCCTAGGTAAGCTAGGCCCTAGCTAGTAGTAGTACGCCTACTAGCTAGCCTAGCTAGCTAGGCTAGTTTAGGCCCTTAGCTAGGCCTATGTACCATAATTAGCCTGCTGATGCCTGCACTAGCTATGTATGGTGAAGACTGCACTAGCTATGTATGGCGAAGATTTGGGTAGGCCTAGAGTGGTGGTGCTTTGCCTGAATTGTGTGTCACTTTGGAGATCTCCAGCGTGATTGAAAATGTATGGATGTAGGCCTATTAGTGACAACAAAGATATTTTCCCTTCGTTTAAAACAGAAATGTGTCTGCAAGGTCAAGGAGTCGTTGAATTGTACAGCGGGAATTGTAAATATAGATTATGATGACCTATAAATTTAAAGAACACTAAATTTTTCTGCTTATGTGTTTCATGCTTAATACGCTTTTTTCACGCTGCGGTAGACATCTTTGATCGATGACAAACAATGCTGAGTAGCGAAGCGTAACTAACAGAAATAACATAGCATTTCGGCCATATTTTCGGAGGTCATGTTACTCAAAAAATCATATATCCTTAACACAGTGTCGTGTCAACATATTTTTTTCTTAAAAAATTTTTGATAAGGATATATCTACGTACTGTATGAATAAATAAAAATGAAAATTTGTTTAATCTGTCAAAACTTAACTGGAAAATAGAAGACCGATTTTGTATAGTGTGTGTTGCTATTATTTCAATTACGTTTTGACAGACTAAACAAATTAAAATTTTTTTGTTACTCATACAGTACTTAGATATATCCTTTGCGAACATTTCAAAGAAAAAAAATATGCCAATATGATCCTCTGTTAAGGAGTTAAGATTCTTAAAGTAACATGACCTCCGAAAAATGATATTAGGTCGAACAGTGAAATAATGGCAATGTGTGTGTTAACACTGCACAAAATCAGTCTTCCATATTCCAGTTAAGTTTTGACAGACAACAAATTTTCAATTTTTTTTTATTCATACAGTACGTAGATATATCCTTTGCGAACATTTTAAAGAAAAAAATATGACTGTTGACACGACACCCAGTTCAGGATTTATGATTTTTTAAGTAACATGACTCCGAAAATATGGTCAAAATGCTATGTTATTACTATTGGTTATGCTTCGCTGCTCAGCACTGTTTGTCATCGATCGAAGATGTCTACCGCAGCGTGAAAAAGGCGTAGTATTATTAATGGGAAAAAATGATATGGTAAATAAACTACATCATCCTGTCTTGTATTTAGAAACCTGAATAGCAAAGCAGATGAGAAACAGATTGAAAAGATTTTACAGTGTGTGATCGCCATCAGAGATAGCACTGATGATGTTGTCAATTTTAAGTACAGAGAAAGTCTGATCACATCTGTCAGTCATGTGTATCTTAGGTCACTTGGCAACAAAATATATGCAAGAAAAACAGAAAAGGTAAATACACTGTCTTTTTTGCACCATGTTTTATCCATTATTTAGGGACTTTTCCAGCTCAATTAAAAAAAATATATGATATCAGGAGCCTTACTAAATATATATTGTGATGTTTATAAGTTTAATTATTTCAAGGCTTTTGAAATAGAAATGTTTTTTATTTATATTTTGTTCATTTTAGAAAATGAAAATAATCTTTTATTGAAATTTTCGTATATAAAGGTAATGTAATTGTTTATTCAATAGAGTACATTTAAACTACAAAAAGTCAATCAATGTAAGCATTTAGGTGTTGTCATTGATGACATTTTAAAGTGGCATAAACAAATTGATCATGTAAAGAATAAAGTAGTATCTGGAATCTACTACCTAACAAAATACATTGAAATTTTCCCCCAAAATATCAAAACAAGAATGTATCAATCATATCCCACCATTTTGACTATTGCAATGTTGTATAGGCTGGGGTCATTATAAACAAACACTTAGAAATAAACTCCAACTACTACAAAATACTCAGCAAAAATATTAACTTGAAAGTCCAAATATGATTCCAGTTCACAGGCACTAAGAGACTTAAATTGGCCAAATATAGAAAAAAAAAACAGTATATCAATGAAGCAGTAACAATGTATAAGATATGAATAATTTAGCAAAATTCTACTTAAAAAAACAGTTTCAGAACATAGGTCCCTATATGAAACAAGGCCTAATGGCATCTTACACTTACTTCACCAAAGACTGAATGTATAAAAAAGATGTCTTTCCTAGTATGGGGCAGAAATCCGGAACCTAAATGAATGTAAATCATTTTGCAACAACTGCTCCTACCTGCAATGTTAATACTTTTAAAAAACAATAAATAACTGACAGGATTAAACATTTTAAATAATGAAGAAAAAACTTTAAACTAGTTGTACATTGTCATGACATCACTTTTTAGTCTTTATCATTTTAAATTTTACTTTCCTTTGCACAGGATGTATTTCAATTTGATTTTTTATATTTATGTTTCTTCATTTTATTTGTATCTTCTTGCAAAAGCATGCCTTCTGAAAAACAACAATATGGTGATACAAGTTTGTTTTTTTTCCATTTAAAAAAAAAAGCTGTTGTTACCTACTTTAATTGAGTACATACGTAATTTAATTATAACTTTGTATTATTTTTCCCTGTTTTCCATTCACAAGGTATTACACATTGTGAGTAGTTTTTGGCATACTGAACTCATGGATACACTTCTAAGCAAGGTCAGTGACCTTTTGTCCAACCCTCACTTGACCGCTGAACAAATGATGAAAGGTATGTATTGCCTGCAAGTTGCATCACACATTTTTAATGTATTAAAAATGTCTTATTTTATAGTTGTGAGGAGGTTTTTGCAGGAGATAAAACACATAAAAAATAACTAGCAAGGTACACATTTTACATATGAGACATGCCATCCCAAAACCAGTGTACTCTCACTAAATGTTAAACTGAGTACTTACCATAAGAATGTGGCTGGCAGTATTGTATACTTTAGTACAGACAAGCCGTAATACTTTTACTCATGACTTTGAAGCTCATAATGTGTGGGATATGAATATAATAAAAGTCAATTTTTTTAACTTTGCAATGCTCTAAGTTTCTGTTACACAGTGCAATGTAAATAAATGACATCAGGCAAAGAAGAAAGGGTCATAAAAGATATGATTTATATTTATGTTATTTTATTCTCAACCAGTTTCATTACTTACCACAATTCTCATGCATTTTTTTTTCTTTTCACTGTAGTCTCTGCTGGTCTTGAGGAAAGCAAGCTATTTAGAGAGGCAGTCAACAAAAACCTTCTTCCTCTTCTCACACACCTCAATAATACCTTCGTCAGTATATCAGAATGTGTCTCCTCTCTGCCCCAGGGTGACCATCCCAGTAAAATCAAGGAGAGGGACATCACAGAACATGTTCCCAAATCGCTGGGGTCACATGATGATCTGATTGTCAAAAACACTGGCTACAGTACTACTAGCGGGTCACCTGTATATAATCATACAGAATTATGTTACACCTGTGTAAAGGTGTGTTTACAGGTGTTTCAGTACATGCCCCAATCTGTAGCGGTTCTCTTATGGGAGTCAACATCAACAGATCAGTCCTTTTCCTCAAATCTCATCAATAACTTGCAGGCCGTGTTAAGTCGGGTATGTTTAAATCGTATGGAAAACCTGGTTTGCATGAAATCGTTATATGCTCACTACAATGTTTTAAACTGCATTCGTTACACTGCATAATTGTCTTTGACAAAATCGGGAAGGCTCACACTGCATAGCAGTCCCCAACACAGTCAGGAAGGCTTCCTGGTTCGAACGACCAATCAGCTTCACCGAAAGCTTTCAGTGTTAGCATGTAGCAATTTTATGGAAACAGGCTTTATGATGCAACATTCATAGTCTACACGACTAATGCTAGCCATTATACAGTACTGTATATTTGTATGATTTTTTAAAGATATTATTTCAAAGATTAATTATCTTTTTTTTACAGCGTTATAGTAAAGATTGTAATCTTATCGCTGGTAGTGCATTAGCTATGCTGGTTAACACCATAGAAACTGTTGAACAAGCTATGCTGTTGATCCAACTTCTCTGTGGTGATTTTCATGCAGCAGGTAAAAAATTAAAACATTCATAAATGTGTGAATGAAGCATAATCCCATGATTCTGTAGGTGACCTTTTAACTTAATCTCAGCATAAGTATATAATGAAAAACTAAACCTGGATTAACCTGATATATCCCAAGTGTCTCTTGTGGAAAAATTAGATCAAACACATATTCATTATGTAAAGCCTGGGATTGACAGTTCTATTATTTTTCAATGTCAGAGAAAAAGGAGTGCTGAGGAGAGAACAAAGCAGTAAGAAAACTACTGTCACCGGGTATGGTGTGCTCCTCAAACTCCAATTTCAATACATTTAAACTTGTCAAAGTTTAATGTTATACAAAAGTTTTTATATTCTGAATTAATTAATATTTGTTAATTTTTCAGTGAATATTGGTAACACCCAAATCAGTAGCTTGTCACATGATCTGCAAGATGGACCGTATTCTAAGATTGCGATTATCCGAGGTATTCTGACTTGCTGTAAGCCACGACTTTTACTGTCAACAGGAGAAAATGAGGTAAATAATAATAATTTAATTTTTTAAGGCGCACATATCCATCTCAGGGAGCTGCACACAACCTTGTCATGTCTGATGAAACATTGATAAAAGTATCTGATATTATATGAGGATTGTATTTCCCAAAACCAGCTTACTCTCACTAATTTTTAAACTCAGTAATTAGCATAAGAATGTGGTAGTATTGTATACTTTAGTACAGAGAAACTGTAATACTTTTACTCATAACTTTGGCAATAGCAAGTCGATTCCAGTAAGTGACCTACCATTTTAAAACTTATAATATGTGGTGAATAAGAATATAGTCAATTTTTTGATCACTGAAACTGGTTTTGGATTGCAAGCCTCATATTCCTGATTTTAATGATTGTTTTTATTCATTTTGTTTAGGATTGCATTCTCTTACACTCCCTGTTCACTGAGGTCGTATCCTTCTGCCAGCACCCTAACCATACCATTCTATACAATGCTTTCCAGCTGCTAGTCTACTGGTATGAGAGTGCCATAGCTACCCTGGATCAATACATTAGCAGCACACCTGAGTCTGACAGAAAAACATGTTTTCACAGTGAATCTCAGTTTGTCAAGAACACCTTGCAACTGATTTGGGAGAATTGGCAGAACCCTCTGACTGGCGTGCCAACATTTGTGAAGACGACCTTTAGCCTCTTGCTAGAAATTCATCATAAAGAAAACCAGTTATTTATGATACCTTCATCTGAAGTAAGTACAATACTTAATTTATAAGCATTGTAGAAGCTATTATATGTAGTTATTGAAGATCCTAATGTTCAATCAAGCATTTTGTGGGTGAATGAACTGTGACTATGAACTCCCTGGTTTCTGATATGTCACAAGATTGCAGTTTATTTCTTATATAAGAATTAATTAATGAGTAAAAAGCATGGGAAGCCTCATGTTTAATAAATAGATTAGGTGTACAGTATGGTGTGTGCAGGAGCTCGCTCTGGCTATTACACAGGTGGTGTCTGATCGAACAGATTCACCTAACCATCAGGTAAATTGTTTATGTTTGCTGATAATGATTACTTCATAGTCTGAATCATGTAAGATTAATGGGAACAAAGTGAGTCCATGGTTGGAGCGTGGGTATGAACGCCCTGTAAAAAAATATGTATCATAGTGCTGAGTGTTAATTCAGTGAGAGCGAAGTGAGTACATGGCTTAGGGACAGGAAACAATATGTAATCATTTAACAGAGCAAAACAAGCAATTAGAGACATGGGTAAAGAACCTGTGCAGGCTTGCCCAGGGAGCTAATATTATTCTAGCAGCAGAAAACCCCTGGGAAAATAACCAGTAGCTTTGAAGTATTTGAAGACTTGAATGATTTTCTATAGGTCCTATTACATCTCTCAGCTGATTGAGTAATTACTAACACAGTAGCAATGGCTGATGAAGAAATTCAATGAATGTGCATGCCATTATTTCAATTGCTTTAGAAATAGGTTTTGAAAAAGCCTGAAGCCAACATAAATACCTACTGAAGAAAATAGCATTGAATAAATTCAAAGGATACAAAGATATGTCTATTTGTTGTTGAATAAATTTGCAGTAAAGCAGATCTGCATTGTATCATGGAGGAAATATTTCCTCCATGATTGTATTCATAGTCTTTACAGATGTAAAAAGAAAATATTTACTTATCTCCAATGGTGCAAAAAAAATTGAACAATATTGATCAAAATGTGTATATAAAAAGCATTTTATAGTGCATTGTACTCCGAGGCCATAAATGGTAGATTGAGGTAATGAGAAAAACAAGTTGTCAGGGAAAATTGCTGAAGTACTCTCCCCATGAACCTTACTAGGGATTTGAATATATTTTTCTGGACCCTCACTGAGACTCTAGTCAGCCCCTGTAATCGTCAAGTTACTTCTGTTGGAAAGACAGAGAGAAGATATTGTTAGACTGTTAACACAAAAAAAATCCATCAACAAGCAATTACATGTTCCATACCTGGCCCTAATCAAATGACGTAGCACCGATGACATACATGATAATGTTACCATATAAAAACAGCTGGATAAATCTATAAATATATTTATAATTGTGAAATATTTATTAAAGTATTTTAATAAACAAAGTTAAATTTCATGCTTTGTTGTAACCTAATAACCTATTGTTTTCCCTCTCAAGCTTTACAGCTCACTAGTAAGCCACCTCCTCCAAATTTCTTGGCATGTGAAAGGGAAATATGCCCTGCTTGGAAGCCTTGTACCGTATATTCGAGCCTTGAACCTCTTATCAAGTCACCCTACTCTACCGAGACAATTGGTAAGAGGCCTAGCAACAAATTTCCTTGCTTCTTCTGTCTCAGACCTGCACAGGGTTTTACTCCAGAACATGAAGAAAGAGATTGAGCAAGGAGGGACAGAGGTAGATAGCGAGGACGGAGATGCTGCTCTGAGGTGGAAGCGAATCTGGGGAGATTGTGTACTAGATGTATTGTGCAGTGAGCATCAGTATGTATATTGGATTCAGAGATTTCTATTTGTGATTATATTAGAGTAATAATGTTTTATCTTATTCCAACAAAAAGATATAATTACTATGAACCTGGATAAATACAATAATGAATTGAGATAAAATTACAGGTCTCTCCCTAATGTAAGACCCCTTTAATTTATGTTGTTCCAAATTAACAAAAGTATTTTATCTTTATTATTCTACTTAGAGACCAAAGCTGCTAAAGTTCATGGAAACCCGGTCCCAAAAATGGTCTTTAATTGGAGGGAGACCAGTATTAAAGTTTCTTTTTTTTTTTTAACAGATTAATAAGATTTCATGGAGCACAGTTCTGGTTGCCATGGATTCTGAAATGTTTTCCTGGTGTATACAACTTGCTGATGGCATCTTTGGACATGAACACAATGCCTTCTTCATCTACATTATCATTAAAACATCGCTTGCATGCACTGATGATGGTGATGGCCCAAGCAAGACTATGTGACATTATCAAATTTACTACTATTGTAAGTTTTAAACAAGGTGTATTAGGTGGTGTGTTCGTCATTGTTCAGATTCATTCATTCAGATTTTTCTTCAGTTATTGTATCTCATGGTGTATGTTATTATGTGTTCTACTATATGGGAAAATAAAAAAACTTTATTTCATTTAATGTAGGAATTACAGTATATCTGAATGATACGGTGAAATTAGTAAACAGTATTTCAAGGGACATATGATGCCAAGCTTATTTACTCTCTATCTTTATATAATGTATATTACACAAATTATATATTTTATTTATTATTTTATTGATTGATTATTGCTGTATAATTCTCTTTTAATAGGAAGAAAATATTCCGCTAATACGTATAGCGTTGGAACATGTCGATGATGACATTCGTCTAAGCGCTCTCGCTTTGGTTTGTAACTCACCAAAAAGAGCCGAACCATTGCAACAGATTGAACTAGATATGCTCTACCGATTCTTGCCACTAAATTTTAACTGCGATGGCGCAAGTTTCAGACAGAAAATGTGTGCGTACATAAAGGCAATAATCACTCGAATACGTGACAGCTGTTTAGGCTCTTTGAAAATGCTAAATCGCAAGAAACCAGATGTGGTGCAGAAGGCAGATGAACAAGATGCACCTAAGAGTATCCTTCAATCTGGGATAACCTTCCTTGATTGGCTACTGCAAAAGCTTATGGAATCGCTATTTCCCGGTGCATGTTATCAACGAAAGAGGGCGGTGTTAGGATTGCTTGCAATATTGTATGAGGTTATGCTTTCAAAATGGCAGTGCAATAAAAAGAAAGGTCAAACGCCAGGAATTGTTTTTTTTTCCACCCCCCCCCCCCCCCCCCACACCCACACACACACACACACACACACACACTACATCTAAACATTTCTATCTTCAATTAAATCAATTCAATCTACATGCCAGTACATAATTATGGTATGTATAATAAGCCTATAGTACATTAATGTAGTTGGTCTAATATTATACTCCAAAAGATGATTGAAGCAACTCAATTGAAACGTTAAGGCATTGTCCATAAAAAGCTGTTCTTTTACGAATTATTATTTTACAGATTCCCAGTTGGCAGATGAACACTTCTACCATTTTTTCTCCTTTTTAAAATTCATAAAAATAATTTTTACAATTTTTTTTTTGTCACTTACTTTTATATACAGAATTTTATGAAAGTAAATAAAATGAAATTGTCTTTGTTTCTTTCTTTGACCATTGTTTTTGCAATGTTAAGCTATACTCTGCTTTGTTATTACATTCTATTATTTCTCTGTCACTAGAATCAGCCGGAACACTTATAACATGGGCCCATCAAAACAACAAATGCCATTTTATATGTGAAAGGTATGGTGCTTTTTAAAAAATTATAATCTTATAATAATTGGCTTCAGTATGAGTTACGTTTATATTGAATACATTTCAAATTGTTTTATTTATTGTAGTTGACAAAAAAAAATTGATTGATTTTTGTAATTTGAAAAGTCGCAATCTATTTAATGGACTTTTCTGGAGTGTCGATCGTAACGACTGACCAATCAGAACATGGCAAAGGATTTGCCCAGAAAGATATATTGTGGTACACTCAACTTCTGAAGAATATAATATTGGAGGTTTAAAGCCTTATCACTGGACTGCAGTCTTTGTTGGCATATATGCTGATGACAATACCAATGAATTAAAAATAATTTCTATGTCATTGTCTCATTAATTATCAACTCGCTCTGTTCATTTCAGATATTGTTACTTGCTTCTTGATAATCTTCTAGACGGATCAAATGACAATCGTGACCTGGCTTATAAAATCCTGTCGGAGTATTTTCCATGGCCATTGCCAGGATTAAAGGTGGTATCAGGCATGGAAGTGAACCGTGTGCTATCAGATGGTCTGCAATTAATTTGTAGCCCTAAATCACCTGAATGCGAGGCAGGCTCTAAGCTTTGTGTGTTGGTATTTCAGAGGTTGGATATTTTCTCTCATTCTGTATCATTCTAATCAAACGGTGAAGAGATTTTCTCAAACACTTTAAAAACAAATAAAATTTTGCATAAGCATTGTATAATTAAAAATGATATTATGACAATGAACAATAAATTGCAACAATATTCATGGAATGTAGTGATAATTGGACTGAAATATTTTATCAGTTTGTATATAAGTTTTATTTTTTATAATTCTAGGCATATTCTAGAAGGCAAGGATCTTCCTTCAAGACTTGTTGGAGCATTCAAAACCCTTAAAATTGAGGTTCTGACGGAAGGTCCCAATGGAGCATTACCTTTCCTGAAACAGATTACAGAGAGCTTAGTTTACCAGCACAAATGCTGCGCCCAGAACATCTTGTATGGCTCTTTCATTACCCCAATGCATGGTAAAGTCTAATGTTTATTGCTGCATGTACTGATACCCATAGGCACTGACTTATTGGAGACAATTCATCAATGATAGTACATAAAACATGTGAATACTGTATCATGAATTTGCAAGAGAGTGGTTGTTTTGGAAGAGATTCTTGCTTGCTCGCGAGAGTGTTGAACGTTCTCCCGTCTGAGAGACATGGGACCTCTATTGTAAGAATGACTGATTTTTCTATTTCATCTTAATACTTCATCCTTTTGCAGGCTTACTTCTCACCATCCGTAAGTGTCTAAGCATCAATGTTCCCACTCTTCAAGAGATCATGCAATCAGACCGAGATGGCTGGATGACTTGGATCACCAATCTCATAGCAACTGCATCTGACATCGTCAGCTTAGCAATGTCAACATTGAGTAGTCCTATAGGAGGAACAGTAGAAACAGAGCTGTCTCCATCATTTGCCGATATGGGTGAAGGAATTGATGATCTCATCCAGAAAATAAAAAAATGCCAGATAGAAGGGCAGCAGGAGGAGGAGGCCAAGATACTTAGTAACTTTGAAACTGGGGAGGAAAACCCTTCAATGTCGGCTAGCCATCAACTTATCTTGGCATGTTGCTGGTTAAATTTAAAGGTCTGGCAAAAATGTTTTAATAATTAAAAAATTCTTATATAATTATTTTTTTTACAAATGTAGTTATATTTGTTATGTAAGAAATTAGTAATAATATTATTTTGTTTTTATATTTTGCTGTGGTGTTGTTTGTATATATTATTTCTGTTACACTAAAACTTTGATGTCAACAACCATTTTTTTTTGCAGGAAGTTAGTTTGTTACTTGGAGATCTGTCACAATGTGTTCCTTTTAAAGCAGAATCTGAACATGGTCTTTTGACCACAAGCCAACTCCAGATGATGACAGACATATTTATTAGTATCCTAACAAAATGCAGACATAGAGTAAGTTAAACATTTCATTTTTTTATGTTACTGTATGTGATTAACACGTTCGCTGCCGGGGGCGCAAAAGTTCATGTCTGACAAGTTGTGAGTTCATGTGCACACCGGTGTGAACACAACACTATTTTATTGCACATACCGAACGTGCAATAAAATATCGCCTGAACATGAACTTTTGACCTGGACGAACTTTCACCAGGAAAGGACCCGGAAGATCTAAAAATCACATCTAATAATGTGCCAATGACAATTATAATTAAAAAAATTAGTTTTTATTGCAACAGAACCCATACAATTTTATATACTCCAAATAATAAACAATGTGCAGATCATATAGTTTTCATGTATAGCCTCATACATTAGAATTTACAAAAACTATACTGCATGTACTATAAAGTACAGGAACAGCCCAAAAAGTATTATTTTTGAGTGAGGCCTTTCTATAGAAAGACAAAATTGTACAATAAAAGGAGATAAGTAAATTCTGCAGAAGTATGTTTTTGCAATAAAGTATTTTTAATGAATGAATGAAAAAATAAATGAGTTAGTTAATGAATCTGTAGGTTATTGCATAATAATGTTCACAAACTATTTTTATTACATTTTAGGGTGCCATTGAAGGCTGCAATCTAGGCTTCTCAAAGCTATGTGCATCCCTCCTTGCTAGTCCATCTCATGAGTTGTCAACCATTCCAAAGGGGTTGCTCCGAGATCTGATTCTTATGATTACAAATGAGGGATCCACGTCATCTTTTACTAAGAAAAGCGCAGGATTACCTTTGGTGCTGGAAGCTGTGATCAACAGTGAGCCAAAAGGCAGGGAGGTGGGTTTAAATGTGCTCTAGTTTGCTTTGTACATTGGTAGTTATGGTGCCTGGGATTATGGGTTCACCCAATAGCAGTGTGGAATTTTGCAGATTGGATCCACTTTTTACATCTCAGGCCTACGTTGTATTAACTCACTCATCATAAAAACGTTTATAAAAGATGAAATGAATAGGCTGATTATACCCTAGAATTCATTAAAATGGAGTGACTTCATCATTAAAATGTTAATATAGGCCATATCATTTTTTTTAACGAAGCTATACCAACCGACGACCGTGATCCATTGCAGTTTCACTACAATTTAAAAAAAAAATAACTTAGAGGGTGCTCTATATCCTGATTACTACACAAGGGGCGATATATACATTGTTAATATTGTTATTAGCCAAAAATTATAATAAAAATAATAAACCACTTCCAGTGACTGGAAGTGTTTCTATCATTTTTCGTTGTAAACTGATGGGTAGACATTTTTTAAATACACTAATTTCTATGTTCAAGTTAATAACTTTTATGTTACTCCAAAATGGGCAAGTTAATTTCAAAAAATATTTTTATGATTACGGTCTCTCTTTACACTGCCACATTTTTATGTTAATTACTCAGTTTAAATATGCTGTTTTAGGATGGCAAGTGTCACATGTCTGTCTCTTGAATCCTCACTATATTTTTCTTTATTTTTTTTTGTAGAAAAGTCTACTTCGGTTTACCATGACCTCACTACTTGATATAGCACAGCAACCTGAACCAGTTGAACATGACCCGAAACTTGACCTCCCACAATGCCATGCATTAAATATGTTGAAAGCTTTGTTCAGAAGTTCCGCAATCAATGATGATGTCATGCCATACACGTCCAAGTCTGTGACCATTGCTATTCATGGATTTGCTTCAAAACATTTTTCAATAAGAAATGGGTCTATGTTACTATTTGGTGTGTAATTTTGTTTTTTATTAAGTTAAGGAGCACATTTCATTGGATCTAGTTATCATATGATTGGCTGTAGCTAAATGTAATGCATAAATTTTGCACATTGTGGGAGTAGAGAGTGCAACATAGCTCAGTTTTCTGAACAAGTTTTTTTTTTTTGCTAAGTTTAAGTGCAAATTTCCATCCATTGATAAATGATACATTTTTTTCTTTTATTTGAACATTTTCAGGTTCTCTTGTTGCCAGGATGTTTGGTCAGAAGCGTGTCCAAGATGAGCATTCACGTGTCAATTCAATGACAGCACGTGAGTTCTTTGTACACTACCCTGAGCTGCAAAGCTTCCTTCTTCAAGAGATTTGTAAATGCGTCGACCAGCAAGTGGCTGGAAGGCAGAACCTACACCCTAGCCTCTTCCCTGTTTTGATCATTTTATCTAAGCTAGGCTGTGGCTTGCAAACTGGAGAAACAAGGTATCATGCACATATAGTACATATTCATTCTTTTTATATTAAAGGTTGTACTAGAATTATTGTGAAGGTATTGGCACAAGTTTATGTCCTGGTGTTTTTTTATGTGTGTGAGTTCATTTCTTTTTTATACTTGGTGTGCCTGCAAGTTGTATATAATTTGTAAGCTGTGTAAAGATTATCTGACATTTTAACATTCAATGCAAAGTTTTCAATTAGTAATAAATGTGCAGATATATATATATATATATGTATAATATGGAACAGACATTAAAAACTCAAATTGGATCATTGTTTTTTTATAACAAAGGTATCTAGTGTGTAATTTTTTTTTGTATTTTGTTCCATCCCTTATGACACAACCTTGCCATGAGTTAGAATATAGGGAGCTTTTGATTGTACGATACAGTAGAAGTTAGAACGTAATGACGTCACTAACCGTCGCACATGAGTAAATCCATTATATTGTCACATCCGCGCGAAACTCGAAAGCTCCATAAATAACGTGCATGCTGAAGTTTAGGGAATGTCTGTCTTTGCAGTGACAATGCTTTATATATTATGTTGAAAAATACCAGTACTATAAAAAGCTTAGAATATAATGCATGTCTTTTTTTTTCAGTGATCTCAACAAGTTCATGCAACCAGTGATGCAATTATGTGCAAGTCCTGTCTATCAAGTGCGAGCCCTTGCTGCGGAAGCACTCGTGCCATTGGTAGCAGAGGATAAGATGCTGACGCAAGCAGCATGTATCATCGACTCATTGCCAGGAAACAGGCAAGAGGCTAACTCACAAAATCAACTACACGGTCAGCTGTTACAAATCCAGAAATTGTTCAGTGCACATAAGGACAACACTGTAGGGTATGTAGAGAGTAGTCGATTCATTGTTTAGTGTAGGCTTGGGCTGTAATCTGTAAAATTGTTTTCTTTGGTGTCCCAGGATGTTGGGCTTAGTTCCAAATATCAGTATATTTCTCATCTATTCCACCTAAAGCCTTGGGAAATGTGTAATGATGATTTAATTCACTGTTATAATTATTTATATTTGTATTGGTTTAAATGTAATGACTAAAACACAACTGACTTAATCACTACAAATCATGTTTGTAAATTAACGTTTTTATTTGTTCAATGTACTTTAAGAGCATTTTAAAGCTTTGAAAAATTTATTAACTAAATTATTTTACTAAATCTCTTTCAATTGCTCAGGTTACCTCCATCATTAGAAGCATACGATACCTGTAGACATCTGTGTGCATTTCAGTGGATAGGCTGTGGAGAAAACAATTGCCCCCTCACGAGGGCAGTCTACATAGATACAACTACAAAGCTTCTTGCATGGCTTGTGACTGATAAGACAAACTCCGACACAAGGAGCCTAGCAGACGACAGCTGTAAAATGACCAAGTGCTACCTCTCTTTACAACATCCACAGCAGGTTTATTATATCAGATTTGATTTAATTCAATTTTGACAAATAACAATTGCAAGATAAAAGATATGAAAACAAAGTTACAATTAGCAAGTGTTGTTAGAAGTGAGCTTAAATCAAGCCTCATGTTTAAGGAAAGAGTATATTATTAATTTATGATTTTTAAAAATATATATTAGTGTTATTATATAACTTTCTTCAAATATCTTTAGATTGCAGGTACTTTTCTAGCCAGATCAGTGGTTGAGTCATTGCTGTCATTAAATCAATCTCAGATGCTAGAGAATGTACAACTTATGTTGAAATCCAGATCACCTGACATCATGGTACCAGCCCAGAGATTCCTGGTGGAAAAGCTACAGGATGGCACTCCACCTAACATTCAGTTCCATAGCCCATTTATACTAGACTTGTTTGAATTGATCAGCACTGAGTCAGATCGTACTTGCCTGGAGTACGGTCTGAGACTGTTCACTGAAGTGTCAAAGGCATGCGATTACCAGCTCCATGATGATTGGCTGAGTCATTGGGATAATCTGCTGAAATTAGCCAGTGGCATGCAAGGTGTGAGTGTCGCCTGTGCAGCTCTACCTGCACTTGGAATTATTGTAAAGGGAATCCTAAATGAAGGCATCATAAGGTAGACTAGCTGTATAGTAATTCCAGTTGGTTTATTGAAATGCAGATATGTGGTAAAGACAAGCCAAATCAGTCACTGGTTTGCAAAAATCGAATTTTAGTTATTACTACAGGTTAAAAAAGTAAAATGAGAATCCGACATTTCCTTATGAAGTTACAAGCATTTAATCATAGAGCTGTTTAAAGAACAATATTTGAGAAATCAGCCTTCAAAGTTTATGATTTCAGGCATTTCTCAGGCAGTGATCATCACCAAATTGTTAAAAATGTTGAAAATGGGGAAAATAACATCATAGCATGATGAATAGATATATAAAGGTTAGTTTTGTGCAATAAAATATATTTCAACACTTTCGACATTTAAGGATATTTTGGCTATTATCTCTGAAACACGATTTGCGACGAGTGACTGGTTTGGCTTGTCTTTGCCACATATCGTCGCTCACATCACGAACTAACACAATCAAAGTAGATTGTGTTAGTTCGTGAAATCACAGTAACGCGTCAAAACGAGCGCGTATTGGTTGTCAAGCAATTTTGTATTCTTTACCACACAAAAAGTCCTTAACGACAATAGCGCATATTTTGACGCGCTTTTTTGATTTCACGAACTAACACAATTGAATTTAATTGTGTTAGTTCGTGATGTGAGCGACGATATGTTAGCAAATAAATGAACAAATGAATAATTATGTCATTTTGGATCTGAAAGCATTAATCTGTCCACACTGTCAAATTTGACAAAAACATGTGACATGCCTAAATATGGTCATGATGACATCAACTCATAACCATATATAGGCACATCATTACTATATATGGGCATCTCATGACTATATATGGGCATACACAGGTAATGAGCTTAATTTTTTCCATTTTTACATCTTTGCAATACACTGTTGATCAGCTGGCATGGCTTAGACTAAGATTGAACCTATAATGCTGACTATAATGTTCAAACAATATACCGTAAAACCTCGAATTGAAGCCCTTGGGCTTCTTATTTTGCGAACTTTGAATGGGCTTCTTTTCGAGATGGGTTTCATTTCAAGATGGGCTTCTTTTCGAGACTACTTTTGCAAAGCAAAGGAGTGGGGGGGGGGGCTTCTTTTTAAAATGATTTCTGTAAATGTTGTGAATTTGTACTTTAAAACAATAAATAAGGCCACTGTATCATAGAGTGTATTTAACTGGCATGAAATCACCTAAACTACTGTATAAACCAAGCTTGTATTTTAATTTATTTTGTTTTCGGAAATTCATGTACAGTGTATGTACTGAAAAGAAGCCTATGCTATCTTGAAAGAAGCCCATAGGCTTCTTATCGTGGCTAATTTTGCAAACTAACGAGTAGGGGCTTCAATTTGAGATGGGCTTCATCGAAATTAAGCCCACCTTGCTTCAATTCAAGGTTTTACGGTATTGTATATTAATTTTTATTTTCTTCATATTCTCTCCAGATGTGACATCCCAGCATTCTGTAGGCTCTTGATGGCCAACAGTAAACCAACCATGTCAGAGTCAAGTCGCCTCGCAGTTGCTTCAGCTCTGCAGATTGTTGGTGCAGATATCTTAAATGAGTTCCAGCGTATAAAGAATGAGAAAGAGGTGGTTCGTGTAATGGGGTAAATTTGATTACCTAATATTGGGAAAATTTGGTTATTAAGTTTTTTATGATAATATTGACTCCTGAAAAATTTACTGTCTTTGCCAAAATATTTCATCCAAAGTTTAGTAAACATTGTGCAACCTTTTTTTTTTTTACTTCTTTTTTTTAATCAAAAAAGTATATGCATTTGAACAACAGTGAAACTTTTGTCTCTGGTCACTCATGATCATGATCATTTTGTTTTCCAGCATATTCACTGCTGCCTTGCTCCTCCTACAAGATGAACAAAGTGAAATTCGATGTGAAGCTACTAGATTTGTAAGCCAGCTCTCAGTGGAAACCACAGACAAAGATGTTGGGCCTATCCAGCCTAGTTATGCCTTACAGGTGAGTTAAGGCCTGTTTATACTTGCAACTATAACTATAAAAATCTAAAAAGCAATTGTTCATGTAAAAAATAAAGGAAATAAGAGAAGTTTTCACACTAGCATGATTCAATAACGATCGTGTATACAATAAAAAAATAATTTCATAAATCCAATCAAATGATGTCATAATCATGGGAAAACGATAAAAAAATTTTTGTTCCCATGTTTTTTTTACGGGACCTATTTGATATGTGGCAAGGGTTGTTTTTAGAGTAGGTTTGATATTGCCACTTAGTGATTTGATTGATGGCAAAGCTAAGCACTTGTGTCCATGTTCCTAAACACTTGCACCTGTCTATCAGTGTGTTAGAAGGAAAGTTTATTCTAGGATTGATTTCACTCTATGGCAATGCTACACCCTTGGGTCTGTGTTCCTAAGCCCTTGTGCCTGTCTGTCAGTGTCTTTGTTGCATTTGAAGGTAGGCTCACTTTGCTAGTAATTGAGGTCACTTACCTTAGTGTATGTCTCTCAATAATAATGTGATGTGGAAGAACCACTTGGAAAGTAATTTGCCACTTGATAATTTGATTCATAAAAACAATGAATAAGATAAAAAGAAATTGAAATATTTTTATGATTAAATATGTTTTCTTTTTCCATTTCAGGTGTTAATAAAATACATCTGTGATAATTTCAAGTGGTCTAGTGTTTGTCTGTCTGATTTGTGTAGGAAATTGTCTGGAAGCAGTTCAATTGAAATTGAAATAAAAAATCAGCAAACAGTATGGTAAGTGTTTGCATTCATTTCATTTAATGTAGATTTGAACTTAAAAAATACATTAACCATAATATGATTATTATATGAATATTATTCATCTATTTCACTACAATTAGGATTCCAACCCAGGATTTTGGAATTGAAAGCGGAGAATTTTAACCACAAGTAAAAACTTAAAATATTGGGGTTTTTTTTGGTTTTTTTTTTAAGGAATTTGAATTTATTTGAACAAGAAGACGCCAATATTTATGAAGAGCCTTCTCAACTCGCTACATTTCTCCATAATCAGCTTTTGGTAAGATTTATGATAAAATAAATTTATTATTTGATGTATTTATTTTTATTTATTTATTGAGGCACACAACTTATGCCCCAATGATTTTGAATAATGATTATATCGCTGTCCAACTTGTAGGTGACAATCCCTTGCACAACACAAACATATACACACGATGCTTTACACAAACTCAATCTCAATATGAGGCTTCGAGAGTGTTAGCAACACTAACAGGAATTGAACCCAGGACCCTGGGATTGGAAGGCAAGCATCTTACCACTAAGCTGTTCAACTCCACTTAAGTACATCATCAAGATAATTATTTATTTAATATTATATAATTCTGTATTATTATAATAATAATTTTTTTTATTACCATTAATAGTATTATGATCAAAAATATCAATGCTACTATGGTTATTATCAATTTTCATCAATACCATTATCAATATGATTATTATCATCATCACCACCATAATTATTGTCATGGTTGCATAGCCTCACCTTCACCATGTAATAGGCATCAGCATAAAAATTGTTTCTCTACATTTTTAATAAACAGTGCCCTCTATAATGTTTTGAAATTGAAATTCTCATGTTTATGACCATTTATGGTTATACATGTTATGTTTTAGCTATGTTGTATATTATTTAATAATGTTAACATACTTATGCATATTTCAGTATTATTTTGTGTTTATTAGATTTTTGTTGAATCATTATCGGAGGAAAATCCAGAAGCTGTGATGAGTTGGATTGTAAACCAGTTACATGAGGCCGAATATCAAATGAGCTGCTTGGTCAAACAACTCAATGCAAAGGTTTCAACATGTAAGAGAGATTTGTGTTTTATATCCTACAGTATATATATATATATAT